CTCTATATCCACCTTATTTCTCCCCTTACCTGTAAGTTAGGCACCATATGAGGCAGGCTATCCCTGAACTCTCTATATCCACCTTATTTCTTTCCTTACATGTAAGTTAGGCACCATATGAGGCAGGCTATCCCTGAACTCTCTATATCCACCTTATTTCTCCTAACCTGTAAGTTAGGCACCATATGAGGCAGGCTATCCCTGAGATAGGAGTAGTGTCTCAGTGTGTGTTCTGGGAGGAGAGGAACCATGGTGGGACTGTCTGCTGCTGCATTATATACCAGGAGCAGCACCGCAATATCTTTGATGTTACAGTCAAGGAATGACAACAACAAAGAAGTCAAATTCAGAATAAAAGGCAAAAAGATTTTTTAAAAACCCTTTCAGTTGATACACTCAGTTTTTCTCTTCCAAATATGATATTGGTAACACACAATGAATAAGCAATTTGGCTCATAAATCAGCTAAAAAGGAGCCATCAATATGGTTCAAAACAATAAATATATAGATGAATACAGCACTAGCCCTGCAAGACCTTAATATAATACACCTATCAGCAATAAGGTCTTTAAATGTTGAGAATAGCTCTAAAATATTCAGTTCACAAACAGTAATTATATTTAAATGATATCCAAATCCACTTTATTTGAGAGGACACACTTCCACTACAGATCAATGTCGCAACATGAAGTACATTTCCTCTACACGAGGCACACATTCTACACCAACATGAGGCTTGCGTCCTTTACCTGAACATAATCCAAAAGGGGGCAGCACCTGTCTGATATAAAATTTTACATACAAGATAAGCCAAAACAAATACTTACAGATGTATTCTCTTAACCATATATATTTTAAATAATCTGTTTCATAACGTTTAACAAAAAGAAAAAAGGATACAGGCTGGATCATCCATGTCTGGCTCAGGTGTGTCAAAGTACATGTGAACACTGAGAAGTTCTGGTATTAGAGGCAGAGAGAGGGCTGGGTGGTGCTCTCCTAGGTGCTGCATACACCTGACAGGATAGATAGACTAATATAAATACATACACACTGAGAAGTTCTGGTATTAGAGGCAGAGAGAGGGCTGGGTGGTGCTCTCCTAGGTGCTGCATACACCTGACAGGATAGATAGACTAATATAAACCGACCGGATGGCCTTGTGGTTAGAGTGTCCGCCTCCGGAGCGGGACGACGTGGGTTCAAAACCCATCTGGGGACATACCAGTCCTTTATAAAAGGTACCTGCTGTCTCCCCGCTTGGCACTCAGAACTTTGTGGTTGAATCAGGGTCCTGGTCAGACAGAGAACGATATGACTAAAATTCCCATGCACTCTCTTCTACCCGTCTACTTCATGCCAGTATTGGTTACTATAGACGTATATGGACAGATACAGATAAATACAGACATACACATATACCAGGAGGCAAATGAATACATAATTAGTTGAATAAATGGACTGGTGACTAAAGCCAACCAACAGACACATAAATAATGAAGAATACCACGAAAGACATATAAAAGAAAAAATTTTATTTTTTAATCTAGATACTAGGTCTCAATTGACAAATCTTTTTCCCCAAAGCTTCCTAAACTTACTTCCATATAGAGGCTCTGTCCTGTGGGTAGCGTTTCAGGTTGTCAAGGAGGGCAAAGATGATATCTCGCAGCCCATTGGTGGTTGCTAAGGTGGCGCAACAGAACATGTTGTGAACCGATTCTCTGATCTCATGGTTGAAATCCTGGAATTTATATAAAATTAAGATCTGTCACACAAGTGGTTGAATAGAATCATACGTCCAGGTGAGATAATACACAGATTTCATCACTTATTTCTGGACTTGAGATATAATATGGATAAGAATAGGCCTTTGGAAGCCAGATGCTGCCATGCTGACTTCTTTTGTTTACTGAAGAGCAAGTTTTATATCTTTGCATCTAGCTGCAAAAGGCCTATAGTACGTTTTAATCTCTATAATCTATACAGCTCTGAGACCATTGTGAAACAAAAACTTCAAATTATTGCTTTTCCTTTTCCTTACCATTACTATTTTTTATTATTATTATTTCATATCTAAACCAGACCTTGAGCAGTCCTGAGGTGATTATCTCCACCTGATCTTCTCTCAGAGAGAAATGCTGACACATCTTTCGCAGACTGTTGATGGCATTGAGCCGTACGCTCTCTATTTCATCGTTAAACATGTCCACAAGATAGTCCAGGGACTGGTTGGCAAAGCTCGGCTTGTGAGAGGCCAACTCACACAGGGAGTCCACTGCAGCGTTTCGAACCTCTGCAAAGACAAAACAGGGGTCAAATGTTATGGTTTAACATGGAATAATTTCAAATTAACTCTTTTCAAAACATAGTTGTTTTTCTACAGTAAACTAAAGCAATATGAATCTCTGTAAAGAAAATAAATGGAATGCCTGGTTCTAAAATGACTGAGGAAAAAAGGATGGCAAGATGCTTTGGTGACTGAATTATGGCATATTTTACGTTAAAAAACTTGTTGGAAATAACTTGACAACTGATATAATAATATTCTTTAAATGAAGTCAGAGGGAATACTTGACTTTCAATATTCATGCACATCACAATAAAATACCATCCTACATGTAAAGGAAGTGGAAAAGCCATTCTGTATATAAATATGACAATGTTATTGCATATCGATAAAAATAAATGCTGTGAATAGGAGGGGTCTTGGAAATAAACAACCTAAATATTCATCTTCCAACCCATGAACAAAGGCGCCACAAGCTCCTCCAGACATCAGACTGACGTCGTCCTCGTCCACCTCTCCTCTCGGAGCGTCGTCAGCCCACTTGTTTCCAGACGCCCACTCCCCACTCTGAAAGTGCTCCTTCTGGCGTTCATGGGCACTCATTTTCAACTAAAATTTTAGGGAAAAAAATGAAAATATGCAAAGAAAAAAGGGGGGTGCAAATCATGTTTCATATCTTAAACAAGCTCTTTGAAGCATACACAACACAGTTTTCAGAAAAATGTCAGAAATGCACAATCAACTTTAACTTCCATGTAACTAATATTCCAGCATCAAAAGGTTTACTAGCAAAGTAAGAAACAATTAAAAAACAACAGCTTTCAACAACATACTTATCAGCTGGACCTTTCATCTGCTTTTAATTCATTCAATCTATTAATGAAACAGACAAAGAATTGCAAAGATTACCCTCATGTTAGACATCAACTTCTTGTCCAATGTTTGTTCTAAAAATCTTGGACTAACAAGGTGTAGTGAGCCCTACAATAAACAATATGAAAAATTCTGCAAATGACAATGCCAGAAAATCCGTCTTTCTCTAGTTTGTTTGTGAGTATTGTGTCAGAAAATGAAACCAAGTAAAGACTGGGGTCAGATAAAAATCTGTAAGTGATAAATAATGGAGGCATTCCACAAGAGAAGGACCCTCTGTGTCATGTTAGTGGCCCAGTGATGCACTGATTTAGCGTTGTCTATCCAGTCAGCGTGTAAGCCATATCTACTACACTATTTGCTTAAATTTTATATTTTATCTTTATCTTACCAGCAACCCTGCTGCCTCAGCTCTGACTTTCCAAGAGAGGTCATTCATCATGTTGCAGATCTTGACAAAAGTGTCGTCTACAAGCCGTATCTTTTCTTTAGACTTCTTCAAAGTCACTTTACTGGAGAAAGAAATATTGAAAATGAGTCCATATCAAAATAGATTCAGAGAAAAGATAATGGTAATCTTTATAATTATCATTCATGGTAAGACAAATGCAAAAAGGGAACTCAAAAGCAAATTTTGTTCAGAAAATTCCTAACAAAAAAACACACGGCTAAGAAACTATAAAGAGCAAGCTCAATATAGTGTAAATGCCAGTGCCACCAGTACTGGATTTTGATAAATGTTCCATGAAAAACCTGCAAAAGCTTTTGGTCTGTAGCCAGCAATATCAAATGGAAATTTTTTTTCTGGAAAAGTGGCCATTTTCACCCTTTAAATTGTCCTTACTTGTTGACATGGGACCTAGATAGATATTTGATTGAAAGTGGACCTTTTGCAACCAAAACTACAGTTCTTTCTGACCCCTCCCCTCTAACCCTCATCCCCGTACTGTTCACATTCGTTACAGGCCCACAATCCCCACCTACCTCTCTGGATACAAGTGTGCCATCACCCAGAGCAGCTTCACAGCATGCAGTCGCACGGACTCGTAGTCATCTGTCAGCGCCCCGCCTGCCTGTCTGTAGACATACATGTCCAGGAGAATGCCGCGCTCATGAAGGCTGGCCTACAGTAAGGAACAGAGTTTAGTTTCCTACTGAAGCTCTATAACACTGGCATTCGATTTCCAAACACAGGTCATTTGAATTCAAGCCACTTATCTGAATATTTTCAAGGGTCTTTTTTGTTTTTTCTTTTTAACATAACCACTGGTCAAACTGTCTATATGACAAGTTGAACTTGTTTCTTACAGTGACCCCAGAGAAGTAAAAAAAATATTAAAGAAATAAAATAAGAAAAAATTACTAGATTATGTGATTGTATTGAAAGTTTTTAAACAAATCTCAGGTCAAATGCTACTCATTAGCCACCAGTCCTTACCAAAGCCCTCAAAGCACTGGCCCTGACCCTGGCATCCTGGTCCTGGGTATAACTACACAGCATCTTCTGTACTTGTAACAAAGAATCTGATTCGCCCTCCACAGGGGACATGCTGTCACATGATGCTAAAGCACCAATCAGTTCCAAGCATTTACATCTCACCAAGTGGCTGGTATCTTGAAGTTTCTGAAATCAATCACTCCCTAGTCAATGTTTATCACATCATTTTTTTTCTATGGCACTTGAGATTTGTTTAGATGAAAAGAATATTATCAGTTTGGGAACAATCAGAGGCCCCACTATATAAAAAAATAGAAAATTACCTCATTTGCCACAGAGATCAGCTGGCCATGTAGTTTCCTATCTGTTGGTTGTAACTTTCCTATCACCAGCAGAGTGTTCATTACCTGACTGGACACAGTATGAGACACTGTAATAATAATAATAATAATAATAATAATAATAATTTATTCAATCAGCAAAGGAGTCACAAAATAGAACCTTGTTCAAATTGAATAACCTAAATGTACTGCATAAAACAAACTTGAACTTATGAAAGGGATTAACTTCCCCCCCCCCCCAAACCTGTAGTGAAATTACATGTTAGAACCTCTCAAAGAGAACCAGTAAGTATAGCTATCTCTAAAGTACATATATAAAGAGCTACTTGATGTGAAGATGGTTTTAATCTACGTGGAAGTGTATTGAATTCTGTAGCTGTGCACAGCAATGCTGCAAAGTCTTTGTGTTGTTTGTGTATTTATTGTGACAGTGTACTTTTCAATATCTTGTGAATACAATTTTTTAAAAAATCAATTAACATCTTTACAATGTCATTAGTATTAGGACACTCCCAAAGCTACCTTCTCTCTTGAAAGCATTGAGCAAATCATCCACAATGGCCGCTGCATTGAATCCCGGAGTCTTAACCACTTGTGCCAACACCAGCAGTACTTTGACACGGACAAACGACTCCTTCTCTTTATAGAAATGATCCAGTAGTCCACGAACTGCATTTTCTGCGGTGGCAAGATCAACTGGGAGGTGCTGTTCGAAGGCGACCAGGGACTGGAGAGCCTCCTGGGAGTTGGCGGCTGTGTGGAGTTCTAGCTGTACTGGGGGGACGGAGGGGGGTGGCTTCTGGATCAGACGGAGGCGTTTTGGCTCTGGAGGCTTTTCCTCCTAAAATTGTGTTAAAAAATAAATAAAATGCATCTCATATACAGAACGACGGGATGGTTATTTCTGTTCCATAGATCGTGACATTACAAATGTGTCAAAAGGCTTAAAATCTGTACTCAAAATTATGGAAATGTTAAACCACTTCATCTTGTATTTGAAAGACAAATATGCAGAGTGTAACCACAGTTTCAGTACAGAGTAGAGGCAAGACCGGTCGTCGTAACACACTGTAAATAACTCATCCCAAATGGGAGAAATCTGTGCCTAAAAACACAGACAAGGCGTTATCATTAGGGAGGAGTATGAAGGCAACAGATTTGGATTATTCGGTGTTTTACCTGAATAACACGAGTAAATTCGGCTAAGGCCCTCTTTTTCAAGTGTGCTGCCATTGCCGACTTTCAAAGTTACTGCCTATAATAAAATTTCGTTTAATAAAAAAAGCAAATGTTTCATCATCAAATAATATTTAATAAGGGTATTTTATTTTATATTTGTTATAAATAATAAATTCTTGTTCTAAGTATATTATTCAGCTTATAAGATAAGACGTGCATTAAACATAAATATGTTTCGAAACTAAATACAGCAATTCGTAATGCGTCAGTATAACAGCAAAGGTGTTCAATGGGAAGGTAATCTTTCTTAATATTTTAATATTACTTTATTAAAGTAAACAAGAAATGTAAAAATATATAGCAATAGATGCATGTTTTATGTGTATCTTTTTGGTGACATTACTTTATTATGTACAAAACAGTCAAATGACATGTTGGAAGAAAGAAAGTGTATGTTTTGACATGTTATTATTACTACATGTACCAGTAGTAGTACACTGATGTAACTTTGTCTCCGACTGGTAGAAAAGACAGCAATGTGTCCCTAACTTACTCTGCTGCAATGGTACAAATGGTTCATAACTGTACACACACACACACACACACACACACACACACACACTACTTCAACATGCACATATATAAATTTGATTGTACAGTCATGAAGGTATGTATGAATGCACTTTGTATGCATTCATTTATTTATTTTTATTTATTTATTTTTTATTTTATTTTAGATGTCTGTAGCCAATGCAGCAGCAACAGAAGAACAGCGGTTAAAGAAGAAACTGCAGACATTCCATGGTGAACTGCTGCGGGTGGGGACAGTGAAAGGGTTTAAGTATTTTGCTATGTACATGAGAGGAAGAGAAGAGATGATGATCAGTGTGCTTAATGAACCACAGGTACGACTTGTGGATGCATATTTACTACAATTAAGGTAACAGTTATTTCCCCGTCTTGAAATTCAACAATGAGGGACATCATTCATCTCATGCAAAAACAGATTGTTCATTTAGTTGATTTTCATTTATTACTTTTTTTGGATATTTAGATAAATTCACAGTAGGAATTTATTAGTTATGCTATAGTTAATATACAAATAGGTGCATTTATTCCTTGCAGGGTGTTGACAATTCATATGTGACTGATACCAGTTTATTCAACTTTGACACTGTAACACCTTCCCCCACAGATAGTCTAACTGCTGCCAGCCTGCCCTATGACAAGTAAGTATAGATCTATTTATTAATGAATCAATTTATTAATTAAAAATTTATATGGATCTTCATGGAAGCATACATTGCAGTGCATCGAAGATCTCCTTTGACTTATTGTTTTGTTTTCTTTGTTTTCATTTTTTAGACTTCATTATTATTATTATTAAATAATGTTTTAGGATTTTGAAAATTAATTGAAAGAGGAGAGGCAGGGTAAGTGTCAAAAATTAGATTTAGATTAGATTGTATTCTTGATCACATGCTTGCAAAAAGTAAAATGAATACGCAGATTTTAGAAGATATCAGAATTTTGTGTAATAAGCTGACATGGTAGAGTCAGAAAGTTTTAAAACCTACTTCATGTTTCAAACAACTTTTTCTTCAGGCGCTCCCTTATGTTGTCCAGAAGAACACAGTTAAAACTAAGTGGTCTTGGTGATAAAGGCATAGGATTGCCTCCAGCTTCTCCCAGTGACAATGAGATGGCAAGTCAGGTATAGTGATTAGCTATTGATGATTTTGCATTCTCTCTCTCTCTCTCTCTCTCTCTCTCTCTCTCTCTCTCTCTCTCTCTCTCTCTCTCTCTCTCTCTCTCTCTCGAAATCTAACTTCAAATCAGGCCCTGCTCATAACTGATTTAACATTATGATAAAGACCTTTTAAACATGTTAAACAACATACCAGCTCTCCCAGAATTTCTAAAACAATTGACATTAAAAAATTCATAAACAAAAAGAGAGGCTATTACTTTGTATTCATATATAGTAAATTAATATGTTTAATTTCTTTCAGATGGAAAACTCGACTCTATTCCTCCTGGCCGGCTATGGCAGGTATAACTGCCCCTATGTGTGGGTGCGGTCAAATCATGAGAGATTGGTCAGAATGTCCAGAGAGGATATATATGACAAGGACAGTCCACTGAGGCTTAGGTCCACCAGTAATACCAAGTGGAAAAATGAAGGTGAAGGCCATATTTTGTTGCTATAGTTACTGTTTGTGTGCTGCCCTCTAGCGGCCATAAATGGTATCATAACTAATAAAAATAGGGACCATGTGAGAGGAATTTGCATATGGCTGAAGTGAGATGGGAAATAACGGGAATGTTTATTATTGCTTTTATTTTCTTTAATCATGTGTTGTTTATTTTTGATGTGTAATTTTTTTTAAATTGTATCATGGGTATTATTTTAACTGGTTATGTAAAAGAGACAGATAAAAAATATAATACAGCAGATAAATTTAAAGAAATTTTGTTTATATATATGTGAATCTAAATAAACGTAAAATTACTTGTATTATAAATGTTTTTATCTAGAAATTCATGTCTGGGAAATCATCAGAGAGTTGGTCAAGCTCTGTACGGCTCCTCCTCCCAGGAACCCCTTCGAGGTGGACTTCGAGTACTATGNTTACCTGTAAGTTAGGCACCATATGAGGCAGGCTATCCCTGAGATAGGAGTAGTGTCTCAGTGTGTGTTCTGGGAGGAGAGGAACCATGGTGGGACTGTCTGCTGCTGCATTATATACCAGGAGCAGCACCGCAATATCTTTGATGTTACAGTCAAGGAATGACAACAACAAAGAAGTCAAATTCAGAATAAAAGGCAAGAAGATTTTTAAAAAACCCTTTAAGTTGATACACTCAGTTTTTCTCTTCCAAATATGATATTGGTAACACACAATGAAGAAGCAATTTGGCTCCTTAAAAGGAACCATCAATATATGGTTCAAAACAGTGAATATATAGATAAATACAGCACTAGCCCATCAAGACCTTAATATAATACACCTATCAGCGCTAAGTTCTTTCAATGTTGAGAATAGCACTAAAATTCTCAATTTACAGACAGTATTATTTAAAAAGAAAATCCACTTTATTTGAGAGGACACACTTCCACAACAGATCATTCTCACAACATTAGGTACATTTCTTCTACACTAAGCACACATTCCACACCAACACGAGGCTTGCGTCCTTTACCCCAACACAATCCAAAAGGGGGCAGCACCTCAGTCTGATAGAAAATTTTAAATACAAGATAAGCCAAAACAAATACTTTCAGATTTATACTCTTAACCATTTATATTTTAAATAAATTATCTGTTTCATGATATTCACCAAATAGGCTAAAGGATACAGGCCGGGTCGTCCATGTCTGGCTCAGGAGTGTCAAAGTACATGTGAACACTGAGAAGTTCTGGTATTAGAGGCACAGAGAGGGCTGGGTGGTGCTCTCCTAGGTGCTGCATACACCTGACAGGATAGATAGACTAATATAAATACATACACACTGAGAAGTTCTGGTATTAGAGGCAGGGAGAGGGCTGGGTGGTGCTCTCCTAGGTGCTGCATACACCTGACAGGATAGAAATATATATTATAAATACATACACACTGAGAAGTTCTGGTATTAGAGGCAGAGAGAGGGCTGGGTGGTGCTCTCCTAGGTGCTGCATACACCTGACAGGATAGATAGACTAATATAAACCGACCGGATGGCCTTGTGGTTAGAGTGTCGGCCTCCGGAGCGGGAGGACGTGGGTTCAAAACCCATCCGGGGACATACCAGTCCTTTATAAAAGGTACCTGCTGTCTCCCCGCTTGGCACTCAGCACTTTGGGGTTGAAGCAGGGTCCTGGTCAGACAGAGAACGATATGACTAAAATTCCCATGCGCTCTCTTCTACCCGTCTACTTCATGCCAGTATTGGTTACTATAGACGTATATGGACAGATACAGATAAATACAGACATACACATATACCAGGAGGCGAATGAATACATAATTAGTTGAAAAAATGGACTGGTGACTAAAGCCAACCAACAGACACAGAAATAATGAAGAATACCACGAAAGACATATAAAAGAAAGAATTTTATTTTCTAATCAAGATACTAGGTCTCAATTGACAAATCTTTTTCCCCAAAGCTTCCTCAACTTACTTCCATATGGAGGCTCTGTCCTGTGGGTAGCGTTTCAGGTTGTCAAGGAGGGCAAAAATGATATCTCGCAGCCCATTGGTGGTTGCTAGGGTGGCGCTACAGAACATGTTATGAACTGATTCTCTGATCTCATGGTTGAAATCCTGGAATTGTATAAAATTAAGATCTGTCACACAAGTGGTTGAATAGAATCATACGTCCAGGTGAGATAATACACAGATTTCATCACTTATTTCTGGACTTGTGATATTATGGATAAGAATAGGCCTTTTGAAGCCAGATGCTGCCATGCTGACTTCTTTTGTTTATACCCCCTTTACACTGGACGGCGTCCTTTCTGCGACCATGAAATTTGACATCGCTGTGGTCTTAATAAGGAGGCACGAGCATTGATTTTGTATCAGAATGAATGCTCAATGATCGGCCAGTTGTCGGCACGTAAAGTATTATAATTTTTTAACTCTCAAATAGGGCCGTACTGCTGGACGCAGAAAGGACTCCGTCCAGTGTAAAGGGGGCTTTACTGAAGAGCTTGCTCTCCAGCATTCTTTTGCTTACTGGAGAGCAAGTTTTATATCTTTGCATCTAGCTGCAGAAGGCCTATAGTACGTTTTAATCTCTATAATCTATACAGCTCTGAGACCATTGTGAAACAAAGTCTTCAAATTACTGCTTTTCCTTTTCCTTACCATTACTATTTTTTATTATTATTATTTCATATCTAAACCATACCTTCAGCAGTCCTGAGGTGATTATCTCCACCTGATCTTCTCTCAGAGAGAAATGCTGACACATCTTTCGCAGACTGTTGATGGCATTGAGCCGTACACTCTCTATTTCATCGTTAAACATGTCCACAAGATAGTCCAGAGACTGGTTGGCAAAGCTCGGCTTGTGAGAGGCCAGCTCACACAGGGAGTCCACCGCAGCGTTTCGGACCTCTGCAAAGACATAACAGGGGTCAAATGTTATGGTTTAACATGGAATAATTTCAAATTAACTCTTTTCAAAACATAGTTGTTTTTCTACACTAAAGCAATATGAATCTCTGTAAAGAAAATAAATGGAATGCCTGGTTCTAAAATGACTGAGGAAAAAAGGATGGCAAGATGCTTTGGTGACTGAATTATGGCATATTTTACGTTAAAAAACTTGTTGGAAATAAATTGACAACTGATATAATAATATTCTTTAAATGAAGTCAGAGGGAATACTTGACTTTCAATATTCATGCACATCACAATAAAATACCATCCTACATGTAAAGGAAGTGGAAAAGCCATTCTGTATATAAATAAGACAATGTTTTTGCATATCGATAAAAATAAATGCTGTGAATAGGAGGGATCTTGGAAATAAACAACCTAAATATTCATCTTCCAACCCATGAACAAAGGCGCCGCAAGCTCCTCCAGACATCAGACTGACGTCGTCCTCGTCCACCTCTCCTCTCGGAGCGTCGTCAGCCCACTTGTTTCCAGACGCCCACTCCCCACTCTGAAAGTGCTCCTTCTGGCGTTCATGGGCACTCATTTTCAACTAAAATTTTAGGGGAAAAGAATTAAAATATGCAAAGAAAAAAGGGGGGTGCAAATCATGTTTCATATCTTAAACAAGCTCTTTGAAGTATACACAACACAGTTTTCAGAAAAATGTCAGAAATGCACAATCAACTTTAACTTCCATGTAACTAATATTCCTGCATCAAAAGGTTTACTAGCAAAGTAAGAAACAATTAAAAAACAACAGCTTTCAACAACATACTTATCAGCTGGACCTTTCATCTGTTTTTAATTCATTCAATCTATTAATGAAACAGACAAAGAATTGCAAAGATTACCCTCATGTTAGACATCAACTTCTTGTCCAATGTTTGTTCTAAAAATCTTGGACTAACAAGGTGTAGTGAGCCCTACAAGAAACAATATGAAAAATTCTGCAAATGACAATGCACGGAAATCCGTCTTTCTCTAGTTTGTTTGTGAGTATTGTGTCAGGAAATGACACCAAGTAAAGACTGGGGTCAGATAAAAATCTGTCAGTGATAAATAATGGAGGCATTCCACAAGAGAAGGACCCTCTGTGTCATGTCAGTGGCCCAGTGGTGCACTGATTTAGCGTTGTCTATCCAGTCAGCATGTAAGCCATATCTACTACACTATTTGCTTAAATTTTATATTTTATCTATATCTTACCAGTAACCCTGCTGCCTCAGCTCTGACTTTCCAAGAGAGGTCATTCATCATGTTGCAAATCTTGACAAAAGTGTCGTCTACAAGCCGAATCTTTTCTTTAGACTTTTTCAAAGTCACTTTACTGGAGAAAGAAATATTGAAAATGAGTCCATATCAAAATAGATTCAGAGAAAAGATAATGGTAATCTTTATAATTATCATTCATGGTAAGACAAATGCAAAAAGGAAACTCAAAAGCAAATTTTGTTCAGAAAATTCCTAACAAAAAAACACACGGCTAAGAAACTATAAAGAGCAAGCTCAATATAGTGTAAATGCCAGTGCCACCAGTACTGGATTTTGATAAATGTTCCATGAAAAACCTGCAAAAGCTTTTGGTCTGTAGCCAGCAATTTCAAATGGAAATTTATTTTCTGGAAAAGTGGCCATTTTCACCCTTTAAATTGTCCTTACTTGTTGACATAGGACCTAGATAGATATTTGATTGAAAGTGGACCTTTTGCAACCAAATCTACAGTAATTTCTGACCCCTCCCCTCTAACCCCCCCCCTCCCCCTTTCCGTGCTGTACACATTTTTTAAGGGCCCACAACCCCCACCTACCTCTCAGGATACAAGTGTGCCATCACCCAGAGCAGCTTCACAGCATGCAGTCGCACGGACTCGTAGTCATCTGTCAGCGCCCCGCCTGCCTGTCTGTAGACGTACATGTCCAGGAGAATGCCGCGCTCATGAAGGCTGGCCTACAGTAAGGAACAGAGTTTAGTTTCCAACTGAAGCTCTATAACACTGGCATTCGGTTTCCAAACACAGGTCATTTGAATTCAAGCCACTTATCTGAATATTTTCAAGGGTCTTTTTTGTTTTTTCTTTTTAACATAACCACTGGTCAAACTGTCTATATGACAAGTTGAACTTGTTTCTTACAGTGACCCCAGAGAAGTAAAAAAAAATATTAAGGAAATAAAATAAGACAAAATTACTAGATTATGTGATTGTATTGAAAGTTTTTAAAAAAATCTCAGGTCAAATGCTACTCATTAGCCACCAGTCCTTACCAAAGCCCTCAAAGCACTGGCCCTGACCCTGGCATCCTGGTCCTGGGTATAACTACACAGCATCTTCTGTACTTGTAACAAAGAATCTGATTCGCCCTCAGCAGGGGACGTGCTGTCACATGATGCTAAAGCACCAATCAGTTCCAAGCATTTACATCTCACCAAGTGGCTGGTATCTTGAAGTTTCTGAAATCAATCACTTTCTAGTCAATGTTTATCACATCATTTATTTTCTATGGCACTTGAGATTTGTTTAGATGAAAAAAATATTACCAGTTTGAGAACAATCAGAGGCCCCACTATATAAAAAAAAATAGAAAATTACCTCATTTGCCACAGAGATCAGCTGGCCATGTAGTTTCCTATCTGTTGGTTGTAACTTTCCTATCACCAGCAGAGTGTTCATTATCTGACTGGACACAGTATGAGACACTGTAATAATAATAATAATAATAATAATAATAATAAAAATAATTTATTCAATCAGCAAAGCAGTCACAAAATAGAACCTTGTTGAATAACCTAAATGTACTGCATAAAACAAACTTGAACTTATGAAAGGGATTAACTCCCCCCCCCCCCAAACCTGTAGTGAAATTACATGTTAGAACCTCTCAAAGAGAACCAGTATGTATAGCTATCTCTAAAGTACATATATAAAGAGCTACTTGATGTGAAGATGGTTTTAATCTACGTGGAAGTGTATTGAATTCTGTAGCTGTGCACAGCAATGCTGCAAAGTCTTTGTGTTGTTTGTGTATTTATTGTGACAGTGTACTTTTCAATATCTTGTGAATACAATTTTAAAAAAATCAATTAACATCTTTACAAAGTCATTAGTATTAGGACACTCCCAAAGCTACCTTCTCTCTTGAAAGCATTGAGCAAATCATCCACAATGGCTGCTGCATTGAATCCCGGAGTCTTAACCACTTGTGCCAACACCAGCAGTACTTTGACACGAACAAATGACTCCTTCTCTTTATAGAAATGATCCAGTAGTCCACGAACTGCATTTTCTGCGGTGGCAAGATCAACAGGGAGGTGCTGTTCGAAGGCGACCAGGGACTGGAGAGCCTCCTGGGAGTTGGCGGCTGTGTGGAGTTCTAGCTGTACTGGGGGGACGGAGGGGGGTGGCTTCTGGATCAGACGGAGGCGTTTTGGCTCTGGAGGCTTTTCCTCCTAAAAAAAGGGTTAAAAAATAAATAAAATGCATTTCATATACAGAACGATGGGATGGTTATTTCTGTACCATAGATCGTGACATTACAAATGTGTCAAAAGGCTTAAAATCTGTACTCAAAATTATGAAAATGTTAAACCACTTTGAACATCTTGTATTTGAAAGACAAACATGCACAGTGTAACCACAGTCAGTACAGAGTAGAGGCAAGAGCGGACCTCGTAACACACTGTAAATAACTCATCCCAAATGGGAGAAATCTGTGCCTAAAAACACAGACAAGGCGTTGTCATTAGGGAAGAGTATGAAGGCAACAGATTTGGATTATTCGGTGTTTTACCTGAATAACACGAGTAAATTCGGCTAAGGCCCTCTTTTTCAAGTGTGCTGCCATTGCCGACTTTCAAAGTTACTGCCTGTAATAAATTTTCGTTTAATAAAAAAAGCAAATGTTTCATCATCAAATAATATTTAATAAGGGTATTTTTTTTATATTTGTTATAAATAATAAATTCTTGTTCTAAGTATATTATTCAGCTTATCAGATAAGACGTGCATTAAACATAAATATGTTTCGAAACTAAATACAGCAATTCGTAATGCGTCAGTATAACAGCAAAGGTGAGTGCTTTAAAAATCGATAAGAAGGTAATCTTTGTTAATATTTTAATATTACTTTCTTAAAGTGAACAAGAAATGTAAAAATATATAGCAACAGATGCATTTTTCAAGTGTATCTTTTTGGTGACGTTACTTTATAATGCACAAAACAGTCAAATGGCATGTTGGAAGAAAGAAAGTGTGTTTTGACATGTTATTATTACTACATGTATACTGATATATCTTTGTATCCGACTGGTAGAAAAGACAGCAATGTGTCACTTACTTATTCTGCAGCGATGGTACAAATAGTTCATAACTACACACACACACACACACACACACACACACACACACACACACACACACACACACACACACCACCGTACTTCAACATGCACCTATAAATTTGATTGTACAGTCATGAAGGTATGTATGAATGCACTTAGTATGCATTCATTTATTTATTTTATTTTATTTTTATTTATTTATTTTTTATTTTATTTTAGATGTCTGTAGCCAATGCAGCAGCAACAGAAGAACAGCGGTTAAAGAAGAAACTGCAGACATTCCATAGTGAACTGCTGCGGGTGGGGACAGTGAAAGGGTTCAAGTATTTTGCTATGTACATGAGAGGAAGAGAAGAGATGATGATCAGTGTGCTGAATGAACCACAGGTAGGACTTGTGAATGCATATTTACTATTACGGTTACAGTAATTTTCTGTCTTGAAATTCGACAATTAGGGATGTCCGTCATTCACCTGAGGCAAGAACGGATTGTTCATTTACTTGATTTTGATTTATTAGTTTTATATATATATTTAGATAAATTCACAGTAGGATTTTATTAGTTATGCTATAGTTAATATACAAATAGGTGCATTTATTCCTTGCAGGGTGTTGACAATTCATATGTGACTGATACCAGTTTATTCAACTTTGACACTGTAACACCTTCCCCCACAGATAGTCTAACTGCTGCCAGCTTGCCCTATGACAAGTAAGTACAGATCTGTTATTAGTGAATCAATTTATTTATTTTTTCAATTAATGTGGATCTTCATGGAAGAATACATTAGCATGTCCATGATCTGTTTTGACTTATCATTTGTTTTCATTTCATATACTTTATTCATTATTATTATTATTATTATTATTATTATTATTATTATTATTATTATTTAAGAATGTTTTTAGGATTTTAAAAATTAGTTGAAAGAGGTAGGACAAGGTATGTGTGAAAAATTAGATTTAGATTAGATTGTATTCTTGATAACATGCTTGCAAAAAGTAAAATGAATTCACAAATTTTAGGAGAAATCACTAATTTTCTGTAATAAACTGACATTGTACAGCCAGGAAGTTTTCAACCCTATATTTTATATTTCAAACAACTTTTTCTTTAGGCGCTCCCTTATGTTGTCCAGAAGAACACAGTTAAAACTAAGTGGTCTTGGTGATAAAGGCATAGGATTGCCTCCAGCTTCTCCCAGTGACAATGAGATGGCGAGTCAGGTATAGTGACTAGCTTCTGATGATTTTGCACCTCTCTCTCTTTCTCTCTCTCTCTCTCTCTCTCTCTGCATTTCTCTCGAAATCTAACTTCAAGTCAGGCCCTGCTCATAACTGATTTAACATTATGATAAAGACCTTTTAAACATGTTAAACAACATACCAGCTCTCCCAGAATTTCTCAAACAATTGACATTAAAAAATTCATAAACATTACTTTGTATTCATATATAGTAAATTAATATGTTTAATTTCTTTCAGATGGAAAACTCGACTCTATTCCTCCTGGCCGGCTATGGCAGGTATAACTGCCCCTATGTGTGGGTGCGGTCAAATCATGAGAGATTGGTCAGAATGTCCAGAGAGGATATTTATGACAAGGACAGTCCACTGAGGCTTAGGTCTACTAGTAATGCCAAGTGGAAAAATGAAGGTGAAGGCCATATTTTGTTGCTATAGTTACTGTTTGTGTGCTGCCCTCTAGCGGCCATAAATGGTATCATAACTAATAAAAATTGGGACCATGTGAGAGGAATTTGCATATGGCTGAAGTGAGATGGGAAATAACAGGAATGTTTATTATTGCTTTTATTTTCTTTAATCATGTGTTGTTTATTTTTGATGTGTAATTTTTTTTAAATTGTATCATGGGTATTATTTTAACTGGTTATGTAAAAGAGACAGATAAAAAATATAATACAGCAGATAAATTTAAAGAAATTTTGTTTATATATATGTGAATCTTAATAAACGTAAAATTACTTGTATTATAAATGTTTTTATCTAGAAATTCATGTCTGGGAAATCATCAGAGAGTTGGTCAAGCTCTGTACGGCCCCTCCTCCCAGGAACCCCTTCGAGGTGGACTTCGAGTACTACGACCACTTGCCTCTACAGGAAAGAATAACCAACTCCGCAGCCACCATCAGTCTGCTGCAGGAAATAGTGGCCACTGATGTCGCTGACAGATCATATACAGCCAAAGGTAAATATTTCACAGCAAGATATTTTACGTATTTACACTGAACTTTGGGAGAGTTGGTCAGTGGCATACCACAGAATAAATCCAGCATAACTTAGTGCCAAGTTGTAATTGTGTGGTGTGTCAGTGTTACTTAATGTAAAAAATAATGTCTTGTAAAACTGTTTAAAAAGAAAAGCACTTACGTTCAGTTGCTCAAGATCTTTATGTTAATTCGCCACTGTTTCATTTGTCAAATTTTCAGAGAAGTTAAACATTATAACTGAGGATTGGATATTAAATTTTTTAGTTCTTAGAAATGAAAGTCATCTGGATATATCTGGAAATCTTGATATTTTGGTGTTGTATTAACTACCCCTGCCCCCCACCCCCTTCCTCCAGCAATGTATATCTGCACCTTGAGCACTTGAATTTTCAGGATCATTATGGAAGGTCCATTTACATCTCTGAATTCTAGTTTTGAATTTAGTCATTTTCAATTTCCGTTTGTTTCAGTTCTCGAAGACTTGCACTTGTTGACAAAGATACACCTGCAAGACCTTAGAACTCTTATACATGAACAAAGGCAGCCATCCCAACTACAGCAACAGCAATCTCAACAGCAACAATTACAGCAATCTCAACAACAACAACAACATCAGTTGCAGCAGCAACAGTGGCAACAGGCGCAGCAGTCGTATTCACTCCCTGGCTATATCCAGCAGTCACAAACACAATATGGTTACAGGTACCAAACTGGGATGATGTGACATGATTTGACATCACTCTATTGGTACATTGTCCATAGTCAAGGTTAAAACCAATTCAAACCAATACAAAGCGACAATGTATGGTAGTACCGTTGGTTTCAAACCAGAACCGAGTTTACCAAAGTGAATTTTATGACAGCTGCATGGTACCATGCCAAACTGAAACCAAAGAGACACTGAAAGACAGAAGCACGAGAACCATAATAAATGGAAGATCCCAAAGTGTGTCACAGTAACATGAGTACATTAACAAAATGCTCTGTATTCTGAGCGTTCTTAAAAACGTGTCTTTTCACTCAGATCGTTTGTGTATATATATGTAATATGTGCCAGTAGCAATGCTTATGTCTGCGGTTTGATTTTAAATTGGACATTCTCATTTGCTTTCCAAAGAAGTGCAATAAAGGATGACGTATTTTGTATAATCCGATTAATGTTGTAGTTTTCGTTATTCAACCTTCGTTTAAATCGAATAGTTATTTTGATTAAACAGTAGAAGTAAAATGAAGTGAAACGTACACGTCTTCGCGTCACGGAGTAATTTCATTCTATCATTAATGCATTTTGCATAGTTATTATTTTTAATTTGATAAGTATTGCTAATTTAGTATTATGTTATAACTGTACTGTTTTACCCCTGTACAAAAAATCGCAACTGAAAACAATGATTACCTGGGCGGTGACGCAGTGGCGCAGAAGATGTGACAAGGCCCGACCCCATACCCAGATAAAAGCAGTGCGTGATGGCATGTTAATGTCTGAATAGCATCGAGAGTGCGTATGCGCGAGACAAAGAGAGAGACTGAGACATTCTCGGTTTTCAAATAATCTAGTCAAAGTCACAACTCGTATATAGGTAGTAAGAAGAAACTATCGCCGTTTATTACTAGTTCTTTCTTATGAAGCTCCAGTCACACCAATACATATAACGTGCAAACAAGACGTCAGTTTTAGAAATGAATGTCAAAGACTGCAACAATCATCCTGCTGTTAAATGATACTTCAATAATTTAATCATCTCAGACTATTCCACCGTAAACAAACAGGTAAAAAATAGCACTTGTAAGCTTAAGGTTAAACTGGAAAGCGTTCGAGTTTCCTCGTAAAATTAACAAATTGTGAATTTTTTCGTTCTCACGCGCTCTCAGATTACGAAGTCACCTCATGGAGGCGTTTTTTTAACTGCTGTTAGTCAATTTAGTCAGACAGAAAAATCTGGCAAGGCCAAGAAGCTTCGTTCTAGTGTTATAGTTCCGTTCATCATAGTTGCTTATTTCTGTAAATAAAGGCCTCCGGCCTTGTATTACAATTGTTCTTACATTACATTTTTTTCTTTTAGAAGTAATAATAATAAAAGAAATAATACGAGTGCATGATACATTTAAACTATAGTGCAATAAAATTTATATTTCATAACTCAATGTCTACAGTAGTTGTAAGCTCTAGTCTTGTTTTTTTCTGCATTTAACAAAAATATAGCAATTCTGCGTAACATAAATCCATCTTACTCACATTGACATTGCAAAAGTTCCCTAATCATTTGATTCTAAGATCTTGGTACAAAGGACACACGAGAAGAAAGTGCATTTCTGTTTCTATTTCACCTTGGCAACCTGGACAAACTATTTCATCTCTACCTATAGTCTACCTATAGTCATCAACATGATATTGCAATCTTTCAAACTCCTAGTTGCAGTTTAACGAAACTCCTCGCAGATTTCCACAGAGCGGTCCGTTTTGTCAATGGTATTGACGTCATGCAAAATCCGAAAAAAATCACGAATACATGCCGCTCCCTGAAGGAAGCGGGTATCCGGATATCCGATAACCTACATGTAGCACTTAAGACGTTGCAAAATTAATTATCACAATAAAAGAAATAATTGCATAAGAATAAACTAACTTATAAATTATACCTTGGTTGATTATAGGCTACTGTGTCCCGGTTAAGGGTTAGATTTACATATTCCACGTAAAATATTACATGCGAAATCAGAAAAGCCGTAATTAACCTTAGAACCCCATCAAAACGCCAAAAACTCAGCAAGCGTGTGGTTCATGGCGAAAAGAGCCAGTGCAGTGTAATTAAATATCACCTGAATAATAAGAACTAAGACTTAATACCCATGTATTCTTACCTTAAGATACATGTAAACAAGAATGTATAAACACCACTGTTTCCTGTGACAAAAGAGGTTACAGATCTCCGTGACTCGAGGTGACTAAGGGCGCATTCGGAACCAGTCGATCCGCGGACTAACTAGTCCTCGCATCAAATATGGTGACACCCACTCGAAAGCGCGCCGAGTTTTAACTGCCCTGCCCTTGCTGTGGCGGCGGGCGTGAGAGGCGGGAATCCATTGTCATATCCGCGGGCCAGTCAATTGGTTCCGATTCCATATTTTAGATGGTTCCATATTTTACATGCCAGTTGGTTCCGAATGTGCCCTTACATACACATCTGCCTTGCTGAATCACGCATCTTTCATGAGATCAAAGACGGTAAAGAAGATAAATATATCCACCACACACTGATTTAGGCTGATTGAGAAACAAGCATATAGATAATTTCAATCAAAACATGCCCACACTTAAGACCGTTTTAGCTCTCTTCACTCTGCATACTGTGAATTCGGTCTATTAATATGCGCAACCGATTTCTAAAATTATTTTAGCTCTCTGGGTGTCTGGCTGTATTGTAAACCATATGTTGAGTATCCATGTACTCATTATTATTTATTGGACACAAAAATGTTTTTTACATTTAAGGGCACTCTTAACTACTATAAAAAGTTCTATACAATATACCTTATAAAATGCAAGTAAATGGATACGACCCCTGGAATTTGACACTAATCATTTGCGTTTGACGTTACCTCATCAATCTTATTTACATTTACAGCCACTCTCTGCGCAGAAGGTGGATGAAAGATGACGTAAAGCTGTCTGAACTTGTCTGTTAAACCCTGCAAATTTACCTCTGATATAAGATTCATCACATTTACCTGCCATAAACGCACTTTCCGAACGCTAGTTCAAGTGGTCTGCGGGGAATTAAGATCATAGCTCCCTTACGGCGTGGTTTACATGCATAATAACAGAGAATTAATCAAGACTCTTAGCTTGAAACAACCTGACGGCGAAATGTCATAATATTTATCATGTTATTTAATATGGCATGTATTTAGTTACCTTAAACACACACTACTCTTATAGACCTTTAAGTTTGTCACATTTAATTCTCTTTGATTTGTTATATATTACTTCACTTAGACATTTATTATAAGGTACTCTTAAAGTCTCGTTTCAAAGACATTGATACAGCGGTGGTAGCCGATTTAGTGACAAAATCAAAGCAACCCACGATCACACCTTATCTGCTAATTGCTTCTGGATCGCATTACAATTGAAGAGATAAGGTATTCTTTGATAACATTTGCACTATTCACGACTTGTCCGTGACCATTCTTCAGACTGGCAGCATATTAAAGATATTCTAAACGAGATATTCCTATCTAGCTTTATCTATTTTTCAAAAAAAAAGGCAATTTTTTTCTACTAACGCAATATTGTTTAACCCTACTCTTAACGATATCTGCTTGTGAAATGTACAGGAAGACGTGGCGGTCTCAACATTACGGAAAACAGAACTAAATTACTTAAATACGGTATAAAATACCTTTTCTATGTGTACGGGCGGATCGAGTTATGATACATGGGAAGACAGATTATTGTCATGTCGTTGGTTAGACTGACCAGAAGGTAGTTCATACCTCTAAGCGCGCGTTCAGAACAGTGGACTAACAGATCCGCGGATCAAATATGGCCGACCCACTTGAAATCTTGTTCCCCGCGGGGAATCTATTCATTGTCTAATTGGGAATTAGGCGGCAAGTTTTTAGTGGGTCGCCATATTTGATCCACGGATCTGTTAGTCCGCTGTTCTGAATGTGCTCTAATACGTCTAAAATAAATAAGTAAGACAGTCTTTGTGAATTTTGTAATTAATAAGAGTTGGATTTTAGGCTACTTTATTTTTAAAAGTTTTTATATGTGATGCTAGATAAGATATACATGAAAATTCTATTTAAAAACCAAAAGTTTTTAACTGGTGATATCTTGGAATAATGCCAAATAATTGAATAATCTGGGTACATATTCAAAATGTGCTGCCAAGTGCATTTTGAGATTTTCTTAAATTCTGCATTTTTGAGGTAACATATGTATGTATGTTTGTATGTATGTTATCGAAGTCTAAGCCGCACAGCTTAAAGATTTAACAAATGAATGTTCATATTATCCCCCTTTCACCCCTCCTTCCGAGGATGTGTCCAACAGGAAGCAGTGTTTCCGGATTGGTCAATGATCAATGACGTCATTGTCACCGCCTGTGTGTATAGTGACTGAAACCATTCAACTACCTGTTTGTTTAATTCATCTGTCGCGAGCGCTGCACGCTCTAATACGTCATCAGGGCAAGGTAAACATAGGGTGAGGTTTAATTATTGGTGGTTTCTCAAATACACCTATATTATAAAGTCCAGCAAAGGGCAGACGACAAGTTATACAAAGGACGCGGTAATCTGCCAGGAGCAAAACATTGTGTGGAAACAGTTTATTAATTCCAGGTCGTTTCTGAACGAGCGAAAATTGACAGAAACAGGCGACTAACCAAACGTCCAAACAGACTACAGTTTTTTAACACCTCTTTTGCGCGAGGATCAGCGCTTCAGGTAAGCTGGTTATTTTGTCGACAGGTTTTTGCGAGGTGATTGTTATAGTCACTTGTGGTTTTCTTTACAAGTTAGCCATCGGTTTTTTGCCTTAAGAGACGCGATTTGATACTACTCATTTGGAGACGAAGAAAAGAATCGGAGGCAAAAGCGTAAGGGAAAAACCAGCGTTATAGCTATTGCATTTTAGAACATAAAAATTACGATAATTATGATGATAACAATATTGATAATAATAATGATAAGTTATAAGTCAGGAATTAGTCTAGTGCTGTCTAGAATATTTCAAAATTCATACGACGGGAGTAACTATTCCTTTTTTTTTTTTTTTTTTTGTAAATAAATCAGTCGACAAGAATAAAAACAAATCAAAATGTAGCTGACACTTGAACTAAGGAGTCCATACTATGCTCTTCACATTTAGTATGAAATCTGATGGGATGCCACTAACATGAAGTTTGTATGTAAAATGATATTTTTTCAAAAATATTCTTTCTATCAGCGCTTTGCAAAAATATTCAATACAAGTATTGTAGATACTTAAAGCAAACGGAGTGGTGTTGAAACCCGAGTAACTGTAAGTTTAGGATTTGTGAGGAAACAATATCTTATTTCCCTCTTGGCTGACATCACATTTATTTCAAGGTGTCCGTTTCGTTATTACAGATTTCAGCGGCTCTTTACTGGAGACACGCAT